TTGAGGGACTATAAAGGCCCAATTCAGCCAAGCATTTGGGAGTGCACTCAAATTCCACTTTACTTAATACCAATGGACATCACAGAAGCAGGTTCTAAGTATGTAAAAGAGGTTTATCTTTGAGATCTTTACAATTTTCTTACTTGTATTTCACGTTTTCTTCAATCCAATTATGCACCAAGCAAATATTTATTAGGAGACAGTCACACAGGCACAATAAACATACATTCCCTGGGGTTGAACAGATTTTTTTAAAAAACAATTTAATTTTGAAAAATACAGATAGCTCATAAAGCTTGTCTGAACAGGATCACATCTAATGGTGCTGACAAATGTAGCTTGGCTTGCCAAATAGGTCAGAAGATTGAAATTCTGGAATGTTCAGAATCTGGATATTATTTATGCTTTTCTTTCCTCATGGCAAGGGAGAAAGAATACTGAGTTTAAATATACAGAATAGATTTAGCAATATCCTTCTGAAATTTGCAGGACCCTAACCAAAGACCTACCCACCACTTTAAGGCATGATGCTTTCTTGCATGCATGTGGCTAACTATCATTAAGGAAAATGTTCAAAGAAAAATATTTTGTGTAATATTGATATAATACAATTACCAAGCGATTTTGCTTCCATGACGCTGTACAATGGAAAATATTCAAAGGTTCCATGCAACTACAGTTCTTGCTAAAGCTACTTCTGCCTGTCAAACTAATTCAGTAGAGTGGTGAGTATATATTTTTTATTTTTCCAAAAGCTAATTAAGTAATACTTAATATGTATTTTGTGAAAGTTCATTTGCAATCAAATTGCTCAGACTCTCTGGAGCTTCTGTCTTAAGTTCGAAAATGACTGTCCTCATTTTGTATCAGTAGTACTTTTTAAACAACTGAAAGCACTTGAAAAATTGAAGGAATGAACTTCAGTGCTTGACTTTCTTATACCTCATACACAGCCAAACTGTTCCTTTTACAAGAGGCACAAAAGATGTAATTACTCCAAAGCAGATATTCTGGTATAACTAGATATTTTATGGCAAAGCTATAAAAAGCTTGCAAATGCCATAGATTCTAGCAGTGATGCATATGTCCACCCATGCATCTGCTACCAGCTTTGAGTCCTTATTTTCTAATATCCATTTCACTTTGAAAAGCATTTAACAGGATTCAAATTCCGTTTACTAATTTGCAGGTCTATTTCCTTTTTAACCCATTCTTCCCAACTCATCTTTGATCAAAACTTTCAGAAAAAGATGCGATTTACAAATTTATGCCTCCAATACAAATTTTTCATATATTGACCTATTTAGAGAAACCTTAGAAAAAAATGTATTGGTGTTTATAAGTCATTATGGCCTCTCTTGACTAGGCAATGTTTTACATGCATTGCAGGTGTAAGACAACCTATAATTGTACTTGTAAACAACCAGGACCAGCACAATATGAGGAACAAGACTGCAAGCGAGACTGCTGCTGCCTCTTTTTCTCTATAATGGCTCCCAAGTTAGACTGATGGCTCTCTGGGATTTTTGCCAAAACCACACACCAGATTAAAATAGAAAGAAGGGACATAGGCAACCTGGGGTCCAAAAATTTAATTCTGACCTTATGTATAAGCTCTCTGGGAGGCTTGGACAAAGCTGAATGTTAATCTACCATATAAGGGGGGCAGAAGGAAACTAGAAAAAAACTTATGAGAAAAAGAATGTATAAAATCTCTTCTATATCATGTGCATATTTTGGTATTTTGAAACCACCAATCCTGAAAAATAATCAAATCTACATGTATAAGCATTATATTCGTCTCAGAAAGTAATGTTTGATGTGCATTTTAGTTACATATCTACAGCCTACTTTTTTCAGCATGAGATATCAACTATATTTTTTATGGCTTTAATCCACTTTATTCAAAACATGGACATTTCTGATTCATAAATTTGTGGGTTTATGGATATTATCAATTATGAAATATGGATAGCATATCAGAAAGCAGATTTGAAAGTGAAGGCTGAAAAGTTCTTCACCCTATCAGAAGAACAGGGTCTATTTACATTTTCTCTTATACTTCACAGTGGAAGTTCAGTTTTCTTCTGCCAAAACACATTTGCTAATGGTCTCCATTGCAGAAACAGAGATGATTTTTTTTTTTTAATCAAATCCGTGTTCTTCACAGAACTGTTTACAAGGAGTAAATATTTTTGCTACATTTATAATAACAGTATAGTGTTCAGCGAAGTATAGTAAGTGATATGCAAAATTGCAAATGAGCAAACATTTTCACAAAATTTTGCAGATGCTGACGAAGTTTTATAGCTCCCTTGAAAGCTCTGTTATTAAGTTGTTTCTAAGGATCACATTTAAATTCTCAGTGGAGACTAAAAAGTATGTTGAACAGATTAAACTCTTTCTCTGTTTTCCTATTATAAATCCCATATATTCATTAGCTATGTACTAGTGTAATCCATTGCACTTGGATCCTTTGATTTTAAACACAAAACCCTTGAATATTAAGCTGTTAATAAATACCTATTGATACCCTATTTACTAACTATTAAAATAACAACATAACTCAATTTTGTAAAACGACTAAATAAACATAGTAATGAGTAAAAGCAGTTAAAGCTATTCTGAGATGGAATCTTGTAAATGAGATGCTTGAGTAGCAATGCTCAGAAAGCTTGCTTTATTGATCATTATTTTTAGAATACTTATAGAATATATTCTATTAGTTTAGTCTCTTTCCCGTCCAAGAGAGAATTCACAGGACATTAACTTCATCTACACATCTCCATTTCAGAAGCACAGAAAGAAGAAACAGATCATGTTTTACTCTTCCTGTGAGGTGAGATTAACCTCATATGAATCTTTAAATTGACCTTGGTGCTACCATAAAATCACAGGTGGCTTACATATGAAGAAGAAAAAGTATTTTTATGGCAATTAATACAACATAACATCGTCTCTTGATATAGCTTGACTAGTCAGAGATACACAACAAACTGAGAAACAGCAACTATTTTCCACTGGGAGATCCAAGTCATCAAAACACAGGAAGGGAGGTTAATTTGAAGGCAATGAGGGAAAGTTTTGAAACTGTTATTCACCTATTCATAACCTCAGAAGGCAAAGAGGCCACAATCTTTCCTCACTGTTCTTTTCAGAGGGATTTATTCTGTCTCAGTCTACTACCAAAGGCACTACTGAGAATTTCAGTAGAATAAGTCAAGGAAGTGCTCTTCAAAATAGCCTGATATAAAAATTTCAACTGCATTTTTCAACTTTAGCAAGCAGAAGGCATTATGCATTTGTGCACGAAGTGCTTACACAAGCAGCAGTAATGTTTGGAAAATTCCTGCCAAGAGCATGTGTAAGTCAATTCCAGCAACATACTGTCCATTTCATACAGTGACACATGATACAGTATAAGGCCAGCTTCATGTTTCATACACTTTTATGTCAACAACAGAGGAGCAGACAAAACCTGATCTGCCATAAGCTTTGTGGGCAAGCTACAAAATTTTGTGAGCAACTTTGAATCAGTAGAATGACTTCTGATAAGTAGTATACATTGATTATGTGTTTGGATGCAACAGGCGTATTTATAATTTCATAGAACCACAACACAAACGAATCACACAAAGGCATCTAATTCAAACAGAATAAACTTGCAAGCACTAGGGAAACTCATGTAATAGTACCTATAAGTGCACCTGTAAGCACTTGTTATTTGTTGAAACAAATTGTTTCAACACTTCCTGCTTATGCTTGACTTCCTTTATGCTTTTACTGAAAGACTGCCACAACAGACTTGATATAATAGATACTCTAAATGTTAAGTGCAACACTATGTGCTATAATGTGTTTGACAGAAATAAATCCTACATTTCCACTCTTTTACATTTTGCCTTCATCTCATTGATCTAACACTTGATCAACTGCAGAACAAATTTGTGATGAGTATGGAAAAAACTGGTAGGAGACTGGAGTTTATCTGTTATAACAAATCAATTTAGGAAACTGGAATCACACTGGTTTTGTTATTTTCATCGCAGCGTGCTAGAAATGAACAGATAGTAACAGGAGTGGTTGATTTACCTTGCTATCAGCAAAAAGTACTTTTAAAACTCTAACAAGGACTGTTGAAAGGAATAGAGAATTCACTGGAAATATAAGTGAGATTTTCAGAGTGAAGATAAGCTAAGGTTCCTACCATTTCTAACACTTCCCCCATTCTTTTTAAGTGAACTCACAATTCAAACAGCCACTGACACGTGCAGTGTGTGCTGTACGCTGCCAATGCTTTCCATGCGATCTCGAGCTATGAGACTGAAAATACTCTTGTATAATTAGACATGCAAGAAGAACTATTTAGATGGTTCTACTGCAATAACCATTTAGGAACCCGCTTTTCCACATGTGGATTCAAGAAGATAGAAAAGGAAAAAAAACAAACCTGCTCAGAGTATATAAAAAATTTAAAAATAACTCCTGAATAATGACAAAATAGTGTGATCCAAATGGCCTTCACAACGGGCCACACTAGGTAACAAGACATTTTTTTTTCTGGTTAGCTTTTTGTTATGTTTACTTTTTCTCACAAGTAGTAATACTAAACTTTATTTAATGTAGTGATTTTTATACAACTTCTGTCCAAAACCACTATCTTTCTCATGAAAAAATAATGAAACAATGTTACAAGACAGGATTCACCACTACAAATTTTCCATCACCTGGAAGACTCTAAGCCAAATCAGGAAAAAAATCTGAGACTATTTGCTAATCCTAGGACTGCAACCAACAGAAAATATCCTTTCTACTCTGTTTTTTACATGATTTGCAAATGCAACTATTTGCATGAACTGTAGTACATTAAAACCCTATATATTTACAATGATGCTCAGTTCTCATATCTGAAAAAACTTAATGTAGAAGAATATGCTCCAAAAATATTTATCCTAAGGTTACATGACCATTTGTTGTTACTCAGTTATTCCAATCCATACCTGCAAACCTGCCAATTGAGCAGCAGTCTTCCCTTTGAGGCAAAGAATGAGTGCCACAAATGCATTTAAGTCCTCCAGAGAGAGGCTACTGACCTAAAACAGATGAAAAATAACACATTATTATGAAGGCTCTGAAGAGGAACTTTCTGAAAATTGACTCCTCTTGCTCACCACATCAAACTTAAATCAGTGACCCCATGAAGTTATGAACACCACAAATACATCATCTCCAAAAAGACACTTTAAAGAGAACAAAATTCTTTCACAACCTGAAGTACATACCCCAATATCCATGTATAAACTATATATATGGATTTCCACACACCAAACAAAATGACCACCCTTCATGTATTCCCTTCTCCTATTTCCTTGGAGTTTCTTAATAACAGCAGATTTCCTCATAACACTAAGCATAATAAAGAAAAAAAATATTTTTTTTTAAAAGTTGCTTTATAATCAAGACCCAGAATAAAAACCTTCTTAATAAACGACAGATGTGATGATCATTAGTATTTCTTTTAAATGCTTACATGGTTATCTGTTGGAAACATTTAAAAAAAGAAATCTAAAATATTTCAATTACCTATTTTAAGTTAAATTTCAGGATTTAACAAAATGTATTCAGATTATTTTAGTTTTCTTAGGCTATGTATTGAAGTGGGAAGAACTCAAAAATATACGAAAACTAAACCCAAAATGTTCAAGTGGGAAAATATAAAGAAAAGATCTAAATTCATTTAGCAGTTCACTCTAATACTTCTATCAGAAAAGGGAGAATGGGGCATTTACTGTTGTGAAAAAGTGTTCTGAGATTCTACAGAGGAACATGGTCACCTCAGGAGAAAGACAGCGCTTCTAGACCAGCTGGGCTGATTCCCTGATGGCACAAGAATCTCACAGCACAAAAATCTTCCTTTTAGAAGAATCCTATAGATTATGGACGTGCATCAAGACCAAATACCTGTTCCAAGTCTTGAGGCTATGAAGAGGACTCCAAGAGAGATCTGTAATTGGAACCTGAAATAAGGTTTCTCTTGCAAAGTCTGAAAATATTCATTGTGAGCTCACAGCACAGTTAAAAAGCTGCCTAAAACCCTGCATTGCCTTTGTCTTAACAGCTTGAATTTTGGAGAATGTTGCGTACAACTCATTTCAATCCCTTAAGAGTTTCTATTAAAGCTACTAAAAATCAAAAAGTGACTGAGAAGATTAAGGAGTCAAAAATTAACAAAAAAAGTATTGCAGTTAATCAATAGGAAAGGAAAAAAACCGAAAACACTAAGAAGCTATCTGTAACTACTTCATTCATTTATTTGCTTAGGAGGAGGAACCCATTCTTTCCTCCTCAATATAAAAATTATTCAACCATTATTGAGAACGTTTTCGGCTTTTGTTTTCCTATCAGCCCTTGCTGCTTGTCCCACTTTAAAAAACTTACCCCCCCATGATGCTGTTAAAACTTGCATAAAGCACAAGAATGTGAGGGATATGAGAAAAGTTTTAAACTTTCAAAATTCTCTTTGGTATTCATTAACTCCACCTGGCTGCTAGGATCTGATAATGGTCCTACTTCACCCCATAGTTTAAGTCAGGTGTCCCCTTTGCACAGATGGCAATAAGAGAGGTTTACTAAACCTGCACATTTTATACATTGCAGTAAGAGCAAATGCGAATTTCATCTACAAAACAATGCTTAATACTTGCACTGTTTTGTTCTCAGAAAAGTAAGTCAAAGATTGCTTGGTAGTACAACAGTAAGGAAATGCCACTAACAGAGCAGATCAGCCAAAATGCTTACGAATATCAAAAGACTTCTTTAGAGAAATATTTTATTCATTAACTGAACTTGCTGAGTTACCACACTCCCATTGCCAGATTTCTTCCAAAACTGTAAGAGCTTGAAAGAGAAATTTCCTTTATCTTTGGAGGCTCCATAGTTTGATCTTTGGACCCATTCACTCCCTTCCCCAGCTTTAAAGACAGACCTTTTTTTTGCAATTTTTAAACAATCTTTGTTATAGATTCAGAGAATATTTGAAAAGTACCCTCACTGAAAATATTACTCTTCAAATCAACACTTTCTTTCCATAGTTAGGAGTTGCTTGTAGAAATTTTTTTCTCCCTTTTAAAAAAATATGGTTCAAGTTTTCATTAAATGCTTGTGTGTAAATTTTGAAGAAGCCAGGTCAATATGCTTGTTCCTGCATAAACCTAGGCTTTAGGTTAGATTAAATTGTAAGTAATGAAGCTTTCAGGAAGTTTATTTCTCCCCCATACGAGCTGAAGGAAATTATGTTAGCCTGCTTCAAGGAAACCTACAATTGCTCAACTTAAATTACCTCTGGGGTAATAATCTACCTACCCCTCTAATACAAATGTAGGACTAAAGTGTAAAGAGAATGCAAAAATTAGGCCTCAGTTGGACAAGCATTGTTTTCTCAGCTATAGAACAAATGGAAGCAGTAAGGCCAGCTCAAAGCATGGCTGCTGACACCCTTTCTCTCTTGTTTTTCTTCTCAGACAACCCAAGAAAACAAATGGGCAATATCAGAGAAGTAATCAAAGTTTAAAACAACTCAGCAATGAAAAACATTTTAATCCAAACCAATTCCCTAGTCTGGTTCACAGGGTACAAGGTATCAGTGTAACTCAGCAGGCAGAAGAGAATCAGGAAATCAGGACACATAGAGAAACTGGCACTGCCATGAAAAAACTTCCACTGAACTAAACCTTTTCCACGATTTCTCTGCTGTTATTCTTGTTGAAAACATGAGCTACAAAACTGGTTTGATCCCTGTTTTTAACATTAGCCATTGGATAATCAGTTCTCAAAACTGTATCCCTATCAAACATTTTATTTTCCATTTTTTTTAACATGCGGTGATTAAGGCTCAGTAAATCCACATTTCTGTTGGTGTTTGCTCCTGTTACTCCTCTTCTTAATCCCAGTAAAGAAAATCTTCTCAAGTAATTTAGTAATCATGTTATGAAAGGGTGTACAGTATAGCACAGTAAATAAATAGTGAAAATACATAAATGAAGCTGATTTCATATCTCAATATGAAAAACACCTAAAGCTAAGTACATAATATGTATCTTGTTGCAAGGCATGAAATGAGTTTCATCTTCAAAAAGCTATCCATTTATATTCTGCTGTACAAAAATTAGAGGAAAAAATCAGCTATTATTTCTATAATTTCTATATGTACTTTCTCAATGCATCATCTAAGTTTGTGCCAACACGCATGAACGAGAAAGAAAGGAAAAATCAGAAAGAACTTATTTTCACGTATCATACACCAGTATATGCATCTGCCATTGAAGAAAGTGAAGTCAGAAAATGCAAAATAACAGACAAAATGCAGTTCAATGTAAGTGAAAGTGCAACAGAGCTTATCAGATTAGATAAAGGCATTATAATTTTCTCATCCTCAGAGAGGAAAATCTTTGCGAGATCAGCATTTGAAAGGTGGCAAGTACAGACAATATATTAAATACTTAAGAGAAATGTAAATAATGAAGCAATATTGTATTTAATCTTGCGTTCCTTTTATTTACAGTCAAGGTACTCTGCAGGCTGCCAGATGTTTGGAATTATGACATAACCGTGACCTAATGATCCCCTGCTACTCAGAATTTACTAGAAGACCTATATCCTTAATTCTGGCTTTAAACTGAGTAGATTGACAAGATGGTGTGAAGAAGTACTGGGAACTGACTAAATACTATACTGTCTGTTTGCACAGCCTGCAAAGTCACCTGAAGGAATGTCTTCTTTTGAGGACGCAAAAGAAACACAAAAGGAGAAGCTTTAATTTGCAAATAGGTCCCAAAAAGTGGAGGAAATCCCTCAGTTTATACTCTGTTAAACTGCCCAAGGGACTTTGTCATGGGCATGTGAGAGCTATGATTAACTACTAAAAACTCACAAGTGTTTCTTGAACAGGATGATGCATGCTAAATAGAGTAATTAAAAACACTGTAATGCAGTACTATTATACTTGATAACTATGCCCGCAGTTAATATTAAGAGAAAAATCCAGCACAGGCTAGTAAGAAACACTTTACTAGTTAATAACATCTACCAGGGCTGACAAAAAGCAACTGTCCCAGTTACCTGCATCATAAGATAGGCCAACAAGCAGCAGAACGCTGCAACAGGTGCTTCTAGAGCTTGGAGCTCTGCCATCTCATCCTGAAGGTAAAAGCATGCCAGAAACGTGCTATACCGTTGCTTTTCCACATCAGGTCCTTTGGCAAACCACAGTGTTTTCAGATTAGGTAGTCCACCTACAAAAGAAATCCATTATTTTATGATGGCAGCAACAAGATAAAACCTGCCTGCCTCATTACAATCTGAAAGGAAACAACTGATCTGCTCTTGGCACTCGCAAGGACCACAGAGTTGAAAATAAAATGTATTTGACAAAACCTGTCATTTGAAAAAAAAGATTAACATTAAAAAAATTAAGGCCTGTAATTTAAACAAATTGTATTGAATCTAGGCATGTTTAAGCAGAGTGGACTGAGTTCAATTGTTACAACAACACAGATAATTTAGAGGCAGTAGGCTTTTATTGCTTGCAAGAAAAGAAGCTTGTCCTTTCCCTTTGGGATCCACAGCATTGAATGAGGTCAGTTGGCTTCATCACAAAACAGTGATTTGGCAGAAAACAACCATACCTGTTTCTTCTCTCTCTCCTAGAGCTAGCATTCAGTTTCAATGAACAAACTGGTCACCTATGCCAATTGCTGGAAAATACACACTCTCCACAAAACACTCTGCTGGTATGACTCCTCTGCACTAGGTTCCACTTTGGGAACAAAAGAACAAGGCTATCTGGTATTTAGCACTCTCTAGGCTACCCTCTGAAACACTTTTGCAAACACACATAAAAGAACTGTCATCAGTTATGTACAGGGTATCTTTCCAGTCTTTCCACGTTATCATTAACCCAGGTCTCTAAATCCTTAATATTTGTCCCACGCTGCCATCTCCCAGCTTGTGCCATGTGAACTAATGTAAAATTTGGTCTACATCTAAACGACATTCAATCCATTATCAAAATAAACACTAATGCATGTGAAATAACAGAACAGCTAACTGGTCGTGCCTAAGAATCCAAATTAAAACTAAGAATTCTCCCATAAAGTACTGCTGCTTCTGTAGTTAAATAAAATGAGGTGTGAATTTTAAATGTGGGCTAATTAAGCTACATTTGGTAACACCTTTTCCTTTTTTTGTGTGACATGCAGCAGCTGTAGTCCAGTTAGGAACACTTGGTGATAATAAATGGTTAAAGTGACAAGGTGCTGAAATCTACATAGGCAGTGTTTATTTAGCCAAGAAAGCCCATTAACCAAATGGTACTAATTCTTTGGAAAGGGGGAAACCAGAAGAGAAGTTAGTATTTTCTTCCTTCATCTCCCTGATGAATGTTTCATTTACGATTTTTAAGACTAACTCTCCTGTCAAAAGTTTTAACCATATAAAGAACTACCATCATAAAATCTGTAAATTTCTAACCTTATTTTGTGGGGAAATATGTATATATTAATTTAAAATACCAGTTACTTGATTTGAGTTAGAAGACACCAACACTGGCAGTGAGTGGGCCAGTATAGGCAGCACAGTAAGACTCGTTACTGGTTCTGATAAGGGTCATCGCTGCCTTAAGAAAAATCAAAAGACCAGCAGAAACTGACTGCCAGGAAGAAAAGCAAATATAACACATATAATACCAAAAAAAAAGCCAACTTTTCCTACCAAGGTTAAGCAACTTTAATGTATGAGACAATTTTTACATGGGTAAACGGAAATAGTTTCGATGGTTTCTGCTGTCCTGAAGGTTCCCAATCAGCTGCACACAGAGACACAACAAGAATCAAAGGAAAACTCTTTCCATCTGTACACTTTGGTGGGTTTTTTTTTGGTTTTTTTTTTTTTTTTTAATGAATGGCATCCAGAGGTATATCTAATAATAGTAACCCTTCTTTTTTCAGAGTAAAACCATGAACTACATCAATAATCAAGGCTAGAAATCTATATTGAGAGAGCTCAATAAAAAATTCAAGACATCTCTTCCATAAACAGTTCATTACAATATCAGAAACAACATCTACTTGTGCCTGGGAAAAAAGAGGTACTGATGAATTATGAGTTATTTACTCTGGGAAAGAAAACTTGACACTAACTCCTTTTGGAACATACCAACCAGAAGTGTTATTTTTCTGAAAGGATCACTCCTACAAGTAACTAAATTCCATGTAAGACCCATTATATTAACCCTTAACTGAAACATAGGTAAAACAAAGAAACAAATACACTGATGTTTAATGACTCTCCCATTATATGTAAAGTCATCAACAAGCCCAAGATTCATATACTGTAGACCCCAAAAAACTTCTCTGCTCTACTTAGATCCTGACTACATACTTTATAGCAATTACAAAAACATTCCTGAGAGAAATTTACCTGGCTATGGAGGAGAAATATTTTATTTTCTGAACACATCTAAATACTTACTAAATTAATCTTAAAAAAAAACCTCAAAACTGAGTAACAAAAGGAAAACAGAACATATACATGTGTGTGTGTATATATATATATATATATATATATAATTGATACCTCTTTACTGTATAAAGATTACTCATCAGAAAACTATCTGTCCTGCTGGGGTTATAGGAACCAGAAGTTCCTACAAATGAAGAGATACTCAAACACTGCATACATTTATGGTTATGCTTATGCTTATGGTTATTCTCAACACACACAAACTGTGTGAAACCTGTATTCACTACTATGTAAACTGTAGTCCTTGGGAACTCCAAGAAGAAGAGCCTCCATGGAGGTCAAGAGGTACTACCTGCCTAAAAACAAAAATGGACAACTGACAAGTTAAGACAAAAAGCATTGACTGGATTATTCTTTATTCCTCTTTACTTACACACTTAAAGACACTGTCATATAGAAAGCTTTGTGGTAAACAAGATCACTCCAAGGGGATATATATATAAAAAATAAGGAAATACAAGGAAATACAGATTTATTTCATTTGTCTGAACTTCAATAGCTGATTTATGAATATGCAACGCATGCAAAAGTGGTGAAATACATTAATACTATGGTATTGTTGAACTCAAGACTTATACAAAGGTGATCCTCATATTCATACCAAAATAAAACATGTCATCAATGTATACAGTCATATGTAGATATATATATTTACATATAAATGTATAATAGTAATTGTTCATGTATATTTCAAGTAATGACTACTGAAATTCCATTTTATAACACCAGTAATAGAACTTTAATGCTTCATCAGTTTATGTGCTCATGTAAATACTGAGCAATAAGTTTATAAAAATGCATTTGCTAGGAACACTCAACATTAACTTGTCAACAACTGTGACAAATTTTAAAGATGCCATAAACCTAAATTCCAATTAAATCTGACCATTAAACAAGCATTCCAGAGATAGCATTTTGAACATAAGCATATTCATGGCATATTCCTATCATAGGATACAGAAAGTAGATCCAAAGTCATGCGGTATGAAGCTGCAATACCCTACACATTTTCAGAAATAAAATGAAAAAAAGAACCCACACTTTTCCAGTAAAGACTTTAAAACTTCCTTTTCCATATAAACTGTACACATATCAAATAGATTTGCTACATTCACGAGATATGGATGTTAAACTGTTTTCAAACTGTTTTCTTGGATCACAGATCTTCTAAAGAAATTAATTTCTCAGAGACATTTTTATCAGTTTAAGTGCTGCTCTGTCAATGTGTGAGAAACATCATGAGCGCATTCATGTAACTGAAAAGAAACATTTCAGAAGGGAGAGAGAGAGAGAATGTGAGTAATTGAAGACTGTCTCTGAAGAAAAATATATACACATAATACAGAGCATATTTTAAATACATTTTAAGCCATCATCTTACAGCCTTTATGATTCAATAATATTTTTTTTTTTTAAAAAAAGCTAAAACTCTGTCTATAACAATATATTGTCTATTAACTGCAAGCTTTTCAGATGCAAGCCAGTTCTGCTGTTTTATACACACAAAAAAGAAATCAGTGGGAATTCTACCTATTTTCTGAGATCAATGAGAAATTTAAAATACTTATGGTTATGCATATTACAGTTGAACGTTCATATCAAATATTCTTTCTTCTGACTTTTTAACGTACATCAGATTCAACAAAGCTGGGAATTCTCATATAGTTTCAGTACACTTCTAAAGTAGTTGTGATGATGTTATCATTTTTTCCAAAAAAAGAAAAGCCAGAGAACCTTCCCAGATTAATTGCGCCTGTGATTTTTCAAATAGTTCCTGGTAAGGTTTTTTTCTGGGTTTGAGTAACCTGATCTGGATTGACAGCTTTGAACTCTAACTTCCTATAACAACTTCTTTAAATTTAGCTCTAAACACGATCTCTGTCTGAAAAATGTGATGCGCTGTTGAGAACCTTATTTGGTGAATTAGAAAGTCATGCTGTGGAAAATAAAAGATGCATGAGCAAATGTAAGGCATACAAATATGGACTGCAAAAATTTTAGAAAAATATTTGTTCACTGAAGGAATGACAACAGGGCACTAAAAATAAACACTAAAAGTCCTCCTCCACTTTTTTTATAGTCTGCTTGAACAGCTTTTCATTACTGAGTCAGTAAAGATTGCAGCTGAGAAGATGCTGTTTTTATAAAATCCTCTTATGTGGTTTCTATAAACAAACAAACACCGTTATTTTACGTCCTGTTTATTGTCAACACGAAGGTGGGTCCTATGTGTAACATGTTTGCAGAGCAGTAGACTCAGAGTACATAAGATTAAGTGGATTCCTCTCCAGAAAGGGAGGAAATTACTACACTATCTGGGGAGGAATATTTCACAATAAATACAGTGTATTTGCCATGCAAACTGAAACGTAACTACATAGGACATTTTGTTGCGTTTTGTTTGCTTGTTTTACAAATGCATGTTCCCAGATCATTCCATGCTGAAATAAAAGAGTTGCATTGAACATATTTATCAAGTTTTACCCTGCGTATTCATATCCATTTGGAAAATTTCACAGCAATTGCATGCTATCATCAAGTCAATTAGATAATCACTCTCCTAATACTGTGTCGGGGTACTGGCCCGTGAAACTACTGCATATCAAATGAAACCTTGTTTGCACTTTGCCTACATAGCTAATTTCTTTCCAAACAGTTCCTTTCAAAAGGATTTTGAAAAGGCTGATAATTAAAAAACAACTTGTTTTTCTTTATCCTTGATTTTAATATTCATATGCATATGAATTTAACACATTTCATTTAATAGGAAAGACAAAAAAAAAAAACTCCGTGTGTCTGACCCACATGATAGCAGATGACTGGATAGAGCATGAGAGAGAATGTAAAGATGGAGGGGTTATGACTGCAGCAGCCTGGACAAATGAACAATTACAACAATTTTCCCTCTGAAATAAAAAAATTGATACAGTACTGTTTAGTTCCTTTCCTAAGCTTCTATTGCATGATAAAATTTATCATAAATAAAAAAGATGAGTGACATAGAGAGAGCTCCATCTTTTTGCTAAAGTGTACGATACTTCCTTGTAAATGTCACACATTCCTCATAACACTAATTTCACTAAGAGTGTTCATTAATGTGCCCTTTACCAAAGGAAAGAAGATAAAACTACACAAAACACTTGATGCTTAAGACAGTAGAAACTTCACAGAAACAGATAGCTTAGCTACTTTTTAATTGAAAAGCAGATTCTTTTTTTTGGGTTGTCACAGGTGATTTAAAAAGACCTTTTTTAATATTTTCCACCAGTCTTGCTAACCTATTGTCTCAAACAGGTTAATAGAAGAATTGTAACATAGGCTTACAGACCACTTACCTTAGCCTCAGAGCAGTATTTAGAACCTCTAAGAAACTGTCAGCATTTTAGGACTTATGTTTGAATTAGCACTGGGTTTAACAAGATACAGCAATAACCTGTAGCTCAAAGCTATCATAATTACACAGGGTAATTAAAAGCAATTACAGACATGCAGCATTTCTACATTAGCTCCTTGTTCTCCACAGTTGTTTTGGATTCCATACCAAACATGATGATGGATTGTCTAACATGATTTTAGTGATGTCACTACTTCAGTTCAGAATGAAAGACATTTTTATTCTACCTGGAATAGAAGGTTCTACAGGTTGTATCAGCTCTGGCTGCTGGAGAGGATTTCCAAAATAGACAAACCACTCTTTTACCACAGGATAGGCTCCACCTAAAAAAGTCAGAATTGGATCAGTAAGTCAAGCATCAGGTATTGGCACTAGTAAATGTTGGAAGCAGTTGTGATCAGAGTTCTAAAGTAACGGAAGGCACTTCATAATGACTTGTTTGCTCAGCTTCTTTAAAAACAAACCAAGAAAAATTAGTCTTAGTATCATTATGACAAATCATCAGAACAAATGAAGAGAGCTTGAATTATGTACTATAAACAGAGTTGGGAACTGCAGCCAAAAATCAAGTACAAGAGTCTGTGTAAAGAAGTCTAAAATGGCTTTCAGCCACTTCTAGGCTTCACATTCCAAGGCGGTTCAGGGAGCTGTGGAGGCATCTGGCATAGCTTAGGGACCTACATGAGCTACCTTAGTCTCTCAGTGCTGTCACAGTCACATATGCAGGCAGCCCTTAATATGATTCTCCTCCCAGCTTGCCCTGACATTTCCTGTGTCAGGGTTTGAGACAAAATCTTTATAAGGAGGCCTTGATGGCTATTTGAAAGCTGACAGCAATGGAGTCATCCCACCATCAGATGAGCTTTTACAGCCCATTGTTCCAGACCTTTTATCTAGTACAAAGGGATTGTTTATACATAATAGCTCAAGTGGCTTCCTACCCTCTAACCTCAACTCTGCTCCGCCCCCCAGTAAAGTAGAGTGCCTCTTAAATTAAAAATTTCACTACTTGACTTGTGCATCTACTTGATGTTTAAAAAAAAAAAAAAAAAGCACAAATGGAAATACCCTTAGAAGCATTTAAGAATTTTTGAAATGCGGTCTATCCGATTTCCAATAGTCAAATCATAATTATTCTAATGCAAGTCTTCATAAATAAAAAAAAACCAGAATCACTATCGAGGTTATAAATGGTGCTTCTGGACTTTGTTGAGATTTTGCTTATGGTAACCAGGTCAAAGTGCCCTAAATTTCCAGTCTCTGGAGTTTGGTAAACAATATGAAATAAACAGATTTAGCTAGTCCTAGGCACTTGAAATACTGTTTTCAAATCTTTTCCAGGCAAACCTCAGAGCTTTTTTATTTTCCCCTTCCCTTGTCCCTTTCCAGACTCACAGAACTGCATCTCTAATTCCTTCCAGCTCTCACCCAGTGCTGAAGCCACCTTTCTTAAAATTCCTGCCTTTTATATTCAGTTCCAATCACCCTGTACTTTACTGCACAAGTCTTTCTGATGCCACATTATGAATCCTCATCAAAAAACACCCAGCTTAAAGCAAATGTCTCCAACACTCCTCTTCCCTCCACCACCCCAAAAATTTTGGTCACATTAATAGCCTGATCTCATTCACAACGCAGTGCTGCAAACAACTGTTGGCATGAGTGAACAAGTAGGTACAAGAGCAGAAATTCCTCAGATGTCAGATATAAGGTGGGGGGGAAAAGAACACAGCAAAATCTGTTTTACAGCCTGCCTTGCCTGATCTGGCAGCACAAGCTCCCAATAGAGGTGAGTGACTGCAGAACCAACAGCTGGACTATGAGGGACAAGAATACACCTGGCTTCCCATGCTTCACTGTTCAAAAACTGATGACATTAAGAATAAAATGAAAAATGCCTACACTGGAGAAGAAAAAAGCCTTAAACTGCACATTCCAGTAGCTGAATAGTCTCATGTTTTGATTATAAATAATTGCCTATGATAAATGCTATTTCATTAACAAAACCCTCCAATTTAATATCTCAAAGTCACTTTCAGAAATATTCCTATGTTTTAGCACTCTGATTTAAGATTTATTATGTAAATTACTCTGCTTTGTTCAATCTATTCAGCTCACACAGCCTCCCAGATTTGAGCCTGGCTTCTTAAGGAAGAAAACCTAATGCAATTAGGACATCTGTCTTATAATCAATTCAAACTGCACTGCTTTGCTTCAACTGAATCTGAGAGACAAGAAGAGATTTCAAATGAATTACATTCCTAAACATTTTGCGAAACTGGTGACTCAGCTGACAGAGGGATCTTGTTAGGTAGGGCACCAACAGAAAGAAAGGCAGGGAAGTCAAGTTACCTGTTGTATCCTAATGCCCTGGATAGCAAATCAACACACAAGTAGTTATGGAAGACCTAGTCGAATAAAAAGGTAGATGGGATTTGAGAAGAGCAGGGGGCAGTAGGGAACATACTCGAGAGCACCATATATTGCAAGAAGGAGCTGTCAAGGACACAGTGAAACGTTAAGAGGATGCTAGAAAGGAGCATGGAAATATAAAAGTTTTACTGAGGGGAAGCTGGCTGGCAGAGTCACTCTTTATGAGTTCCACAGCTCATAGAACAAGATACCAAAATGTCTCCATTCCAAATGCTGGTGAAATACTATTTTTACATCACCTATTGAGGTCAAGCACAGTAAAAAGAGAAGCCAGTAGGAAACCTCTAGTTTAGTTCTTTTAATATATATGAATGTTGGTACAGGATGTAGCACCACATTACCTGAATGCTTCACTGTTATAGTCCATTCCTAACAAAGATACAGTACATTGTTCACATAAGTAGCCAAACTAATAAACATGAAAGCAAGGTCCTGCAAACTGACAGCATGTTAACATACCAGGAACAAAATGGAGACGTGATTACTAAATGGCAGCACTCCCTGCATGGAAATAGTTCTTGGGGGCAGGGGGGGGAAGAAAAAAATCAAACTTTTTTCTCCACAATGCACATACAGAGTATTGTCAGTGAAATCTAAAAAATAGCAGTCCCTTTGTTTAAATAGATTCTGATGGCCTGCGGAAGCACCACTTAGGCAGCCCACAGGAAATTTCAACTACGTGCAAAACAGGATTTGGTTGGAAATGGTGTTCTGTGTGCTCCTTTACACTTGCAACAATGCCAGCCCTCCTGAGTGCTCACTGGTGATAACTGGCAAAAATTCTGCTAACAGACTCTTTTTCACAGTTTCAAAGCAAGGGTTAGTCTGGCCTGCTAATGTTAGAACTGGGAGTGATGCCAGGACTTCCAGGAGCTGGCCACAGGCTTAGGCCACATTACATAACCTCCTAATAGGCACCAGTCACGCAGGTGCAGCTGTTTCCATGGACTGCACTAGTGCCAGAACCTGCTGGCTTTGTTCTGAACTCTTCACACACAAAAGAAAGAAAGAGCTGGTCTGGCCTATCAAGGTGCATTATTTACTGTCAGTTTCCCCTCCTTGATTTTTTCCAATAATACTGTTTTTTTCTAGGAAAGCTGCTAAAAGGTGATAATTTATATATCCCCATATACAATATACCATGTAATGATCAGATATAGCTCAATTAAATATAAAGATACTTTTAAAATACATAGGACCAGGTTGGTTACACCATTGCAAGACAGGGAGGGAAGAGAGAGAGAGTGGGGCTATTTTCAGTTTCACAAACTAGGCCACCAGGCAGCTGCACAAAGAGCTGCACCAGCACAACTCAGAGGTTGCACAGGGGATGAAATGAGTGGCTGTGCAAGAAAATTAATTAAACTGACATTTTTTTACTCATAATAAATTACTTTTATTATAAAATTTATAAACATAAATTACTTTTGCTGCGTTGACAGCAAAAGAAACACTTATCACACTATGGCTTGAGGCAAAGTGGCGTGGTCTAGGTGAGTGATTTCAAAGGATGTGACAACATCCAGCTCCTATAGATTCTTGGGTCTCCTAATCACCCTTGGAAATCTCAGCTAAGTCATTTGAAACTATCAGTTTCTTGTTTCAGAGTAGAGGAAGTAGTCTACATTATTCTTAAACTGTTCTTACTAAAATGCTAACTATTACTTTTACTAGATGTTGGCTGCTTTGCTGTTCCTATTTAACAGTAAATATGCAGATATGCAAACGACACAGAGGTCAGTTCCCGAAGCTGGAATCAATGTAATTGAGGGATCTAAAGGAATAAAAAACCAGGATCACTAACACACTAATCTCCACTGCAAACTTAAACTTGTGTAGAGTTACTAAGTTAGCTTCAAATGAGCCACATCAGCAACTGTATCACAACGGCAGCAGACTCCACCTGGACCAATTTAATTAGTTGACTCCTTCCAGTAAGGTCCTTTTTAATGCTAATACAAAGTAATTATACTACAACCGACATACAATGTAGGTTACTTCTTCCCATCCTACTATTTCCTACTAGGAAGTGACATGGTTGAAGCAATCAGAGGGAGATGCATACACTGAAAATACAGATTTGATAGGGGTGCCCATGCAGACACACTTTACAAGCCTTTCTGGAAGGGTTAAGGATTGAGAGTGCACTGTGATTCACTTTAGAAAGTTATCTCTGGAATTTGCAGCATGAGCTGAGAACAAATAATACACGTTATCTGTGGTTTTATTCTAAAACCACTTTCTTACAAGAAGGCCTCTTTCATGTTCAAATTTCATTTTCAGTAAGATTCTAAATTAGTGTTTCTGTATTTCAATTCTAATGTTCTTCATCTGAGTACTGCAAACACTGTAACACAAATGCAAATCTGGCTACTACCCTACCATCTCACAGCAACAATTGTTAATTAGAAGTTTTGGGTTGGGTGTTTCTGAAAATGTCAATGAATATCCTGCTGCTTAGAGGAATAAAGAAAACCCAACCAAGTTATAATTGTCTACAAAATTTAGAGGCAGTAGGCTAAAAAATGAAAAATGGCAGATGTGCACAATTACTGCTGGGATTTTTGCTACTCTGTCCAAATGACTAAGTAAACTGATTCATTTTTTTCCTATTTTTTTTTCCTATTATGGCACAGCTTCAACCTCTAGTTGCCGGAGGAAGTCAGGTATTTAATCACCTTTCTGTGCCTTTCTAAGCGCAAGGTTTGAATATCAGGTGTGACGGCGGTGCACTTTCATCAATAAAATGTAAAGTGATTACTAAGGAGAAATCAACATATTAAGAAGAACAGAAGTTCAGTACACTTTTAATTTTCAACTTGCTGCCTAAAAGACACTGTAAAGATAACATTTAGCTAATGGAAGTCTTAAGAACATAAAACTTGTCCAAGGATGTGAACAAAGAATTCTCTGTCTTAAAGCAGAATGGAAGCAGAGATATATACATAGCTGCTACAGAATGTGTTTATACCACTGGACAGACAAGTCATATTTTCTTGCACTTTGATGAAAGAACTAATAATCACTGGCATGACTATTTGCATTTGTATCACTACAGTAACTACATTTGACTACCCACTGTTTTTAAAATTGCATACTTATCAACAAAGTAAAACTGTAACAGTACATTGCTGTTTTGCAGAAGTGTATTACAACTCACTAATTCATCAGGAGCTATTTACCAAAGCAACATTAGGTTTCATATCCTCTCAAACTTTTAAAATCTTCTAAATGTCATTGTTTTGCTCAATCTTTTGATCATTATCAACTTCCACAACTTCTCTTTTAACAAGAAAAAAAAATCCCAATTCTCAAAAATCTCTTTAAAAGCACTGAAATTGAACAGCACGTAGAAAAATGGCAATTTCATTGTCACGTTTTCTCTTGATTCCTTAAGGGGCACACTTCAGCTGCCCACAGTTTTTATCCTAAATACCATCCTCATGTAGCCACTGAAACAATAAATTCAGGATTTCATATTTCAAAACTGAAATTATACTTGAGTAACAGTGTCAGTAGTTTAAGCCTTACCTTTTATAGATTCCAACAAGACAGAATAAATATGCTGACGAGCAGGGCGGTAGATAAGTGCCTGTCCAGGGATCTCTGTATCACATTCATCTTCCAAAGAGTTGCTGCATTCAATCTCTCCATTACTCAGGATATTGAAGATTGTATAATTTTCAGATTGGATATGCTGCTCTTTAGCTAACTGTTTGTTCAGAGAAGGAAGAAGGCATTATCTCAAAACTAAGAAGGATCAAATAGTAACAAAATGTATTCAGCGCTCAAGGAAACAATACTTTAACAGTGGAAATGGAGGTAACAGCCAGGGAGAGAACAAGTGCTTTTTCAAGTTAACACCAGTATAGTATATTTTCAGACACCCATATTTTTGAGAACAGGAATCCCATTATTGACTTCCTTAGCCCTTCCTTGAATTCTCAAAACCTGGGGGTTTTAATGACAGGTTTTTTAGAGAATAATTATTCTTAAAATGAATTCTGAATTCAGACACAGAAAAATGAGCTGCCCTCCTTTAGTCACTTGAAAATGTACCTTCCCCTTTAAATATTGAGTGAAGGCATAATGATTACAATTGCAAGATGAACTACATAAAACAGCGCAATTTCTTTCCTAAGCTGGCTGCAAAATTTACGTTGTGGTGAAATTAGAATACTTAACCTCACCACACTCTTACTTCATGATTGCTCTTCCCCAAAAAAGAAATACAGTCTACTTTAGTAAGGAAAAGCAGGTCTGCAGGCTGCTGCCAAGAAGCAGAATCATAGCATCACCCAGGCTGTGCAATAACCACACACTGGGTGCAGACACATCTGGCTAAAACCAGCACCAAAGGGTCTGGATGCAGAAGATGCTTCTTAGATGTAGAAGCAACAAAGCTGCTCCCAGGCAACACAGATTTCAACCAGTAACACCTGTGACCTGCCCCAGCCAAGCACAGAGCCACATAGACATTTCATGTCATAGCCTCAGACCAAAAGTGTGGGGGTACTCAAACAGCTCAGCAAAGTCAATTATTTCCATGGGGTGTCACTAACAAACTTCTGGACCCACACTGCACGGTGAGCAAGCACTGAAGTGTCTCTGGTCTGCATTCCCTGCGTGTGTCACGCTGTCTGTCTTATGTGGGTCGTGCCATCCATGCAGTTATCTCAGCTTCTTTCACTGGGAACTACCAGACCACTGGCCAGACCCAAATTCACCATTTCTGCAGAATTCCAGTATTTGCAAACCTGGGAACTCAAGAGGTCAAACCTGCAGTCAGTCACTGGGATGTTACTGATCAAAACTAATTCTACTGAAATGTCATACTTTCAGAAGAAATTATTTTGAGTATATAATCAATGACAGCCTTCTGTGTACAAAACCAATCCACAGAGCATTTTCTTACAGCAATAAATTAATGGTTGCCCTGGAAGAAATACTTCAGTATTCCTAATATACGTAAACAATGTAATCCCCCAAATCTACTTTTTTATAAAACAAAAGCAAATAATTAAGTATTTCTAAGCATGATTCAAATGAGACAAACCACTGTCACAGACAAGAGATCATTTGAAAATACTGGTGTCTTGCAATTTGCCAATAATCTACACACCCTTGTGTACTACAAAAACACAAGCTGATTTCAAAAGTATTGCTGTATTCAATATGCTATCTTGACAAATATTTCTGCTTTACATCTACAGTCAGCTAGAAAGTTATGCTCCTCTTTTCTGAGAGAAGCAGCCACTTGAGGTTATGTCCTCAAGGTTGTAAGTGAGCTGTGTCTGCCATTTATGTGCAGTTCAGATTATGTGGAAGGTAAGCAGAACTACACATGGGTTTCAGAACATGAAGCAAAGCACACACATGACATATATGAATATTTAAACACTGTAGCAAAACCAAAAGACAAGTTAACATGTCTACAATGTTGACTGGAATTTCTTTGGCCCAGGGACTGGCTTAACATAGGGTTCATGCACCAGCAGAGAGGCATTCGTTAGTGGAGTTTCTAAACATCATTATTTTATTACAGCATTAGCTCAGCATGACACTAGAGACCTGCAACCCTTCAAATGAAGACCAAGCCAAGAAAGAATGACCACTTGTCACAAAGACCACATGGTACATTCTCCTAAGGAGTGAGGATATTACCACTATTGTCTTGGCCATAATCCAACCTATATAATTACATTCTGGCTAATTTTTCCTTGCATTTCAAGCACAAACACTATTTTTCCACATGGTATTTAGGATGTAGAGTTGTTTTTTGTTGTTTTGTTTTTTTTTTTTTTAAATAATGTCTTCTGCTTAACAACTACAGTCAAAAGTGACATGTATTGCATCTATGTATGGTTAATAAAAAAACCCAAACAAATATAACTGCTGTTTTGCTGAAACAAGCATTGCACAGGTTACAATATAGGTTTAAAATGGTTTAAGTGTATTTTTAGAAAAGGAAAATGTAAGTTATAGGATTACTTTAGAGTAATATGACAGAACAGAAAAACAGCTTTAAAGAATATAAGGAAAAGACAAAACACCAGCCTATTTGAAATCTGTAAGTATCAAAGAAAATAGGGAGTAACAGAGGGCTAATATAGGGTCTAAAATATACCACCTTGTACAGATTTTCCTTCTATTAAATCTCAATATGTTATCTTAATTTCCATGAATTTAGAGTTGTACTCAGATTTACTACCATTGCATAATAATAGCTGACACAAGGTAGCTCAGCTAATACATCTGGTCTCTCAGAGTGACCTGATCAGAGTGACCATTTTTGACTGGCCAACATCAGCACATCTCTGCCCATGTGGGAAGCCATGAGTGACACTTGCTAGTGCAGCCCTCTCTTTTAAGGATTAACAAGACACACAAACTGCTTTTGGTTCATTCAGGTACAATGAATCTGAAAGATAATTAACCTGATCCAAAAATAATGAAATACAGGTTTAAAGGAAGTTGCCTCATCTCCTCCACAACAGCAATTTCAACCTCTGCATTCCTAGTGCAAGCTCCCTTTGGGTCCCTGACTGCACGTGCCAGGTGCAGCCAAGCAGATCACTAACCATCCGTGGCTGACCTGTCAGTTCTCCAAGCAAAAAGGAATTTATTACTGCATGCAATAGATGCCAAGTACATCTCCACACCCAGCTATAGACATGTACTGGAGATGCTCCCTGTTATTTGACCCACCTGATGCTTCAAAAAGAGAGGAACTACTTTTAATTAAATGTGCTGCATCTGCCCTCATCATGGTCCATGTCATAGTCCTAAATGCGGCTGTAGTTAACAGACGAAAGATTTTGCTCAAGAAAATTTATATCAATAGATTCAGTGTGCTCATTAACAACTTCCACTAAACAGTCATGGCAATAAAGTGACCATTAAGCTTTGAAAAACAAGGTACCTCGAAGATTTCTTTATCTGGACACAGGGCTGTTTGTTGTTGAAGGGAGAACATCTGGTGATTTGTTGTGTTGGGAGGAACCCACGGAGACTGCTGCCCAGGCAAAAGGTAGGATTCCACTCCTCTGTACAGTAATGTCTTGTCTGATCCCAAAGGTAGCATCTCTTCCAAGTGTTTCAGGCTGCTGTATGAGCACGGAACTTTTGAGATGTAATCTGCTACAGCTAGAAGTATGTTTGTCCTTCTGCTGTACCTGTTACTCCTGCGGCGACTGGTGACTAAACATTTATGCCAAAAGCCTTCCAACAAGCTTTCTGGAACAACATCATTGCCAAGCAAGCAAGCAAAGAGAGGAAGGTGTGTCAGCCTAAGACCCAATGCATGGCAAAGATCTTCTCGAGAGTACATAACGGTGACCAGTCTGTCCAAATGGAGTTTCTCAATGGAGAAGTAGGGGCATGTATTATAGATGAGGTAGTCACTATCTTGTCCCAGAATTCCTATGCAGTTATGTTGCAAACCATATGCAGCCACCTCAAAGTCTGCCTCCTGCAATGTGCACACTGTTTTTTGACCAAGCGACTTCAGGGCAAAACGTGTAAAAGTAGGCAAAGCTGTAGAAAGAGTGAACATTTCTCTTCCTGGTTGTTTCCTGTGAGTCTTGAGAAACTGAAATATTCTGGCTATTTCCTTGTTATTATTCAACCTCCGCTTGATCCACTCATCTCTCTTTTTCCCTTCCACCACACCATCAAAGTAAAACACCAACTTGATACCAGCTGCCATAAAAACTTTAATAAAATCCTCCAAATTGGCAAGGTACTCCCGCCACTGGCCACCACACACCCAGTATTCTGGTGTGTACCAGTACTTAACACAACTCATGGCGTCCACTACGATAACAGGCAGGGAATCAGGATGATCGATGCGATGCTTTTCTGCCATCTCTCTCAGGTCTACTGTTCTGCATACATCCGGGCAGACTCTTTCCACAAACCCCTGCAGACCTTTAATGCCCATGGCCGACCTCTGAAACTCACAGTAGTCTGGAAGAAGAAAAATAAACACAACATTCTAAAATGTAATGTTGAGAAACGTAATGAAACTCTGCAGTCAAAGAGAAGCAGCCTGGAAACTGAACGGTCCATTTTCTGGTCTTGCTGATAACCTGTTGTGTTGTCCTGGTCTTTAAACAGCTTCAACCAGTTTTCTTCCCATCAACAAACTGGACGTAAGTGCCCAATCAGTTTTTATATCAGTGAAAACTGTAACTATCTAAAGGTTTTCATAAATAAGACTTTAAAATTTTCAGACTAACAGCATACAATATAGAAAAGTATGCATTGCTAGAAAAACAAGTATAAATGTCATTAGAAGCTTTATGAGAACTGACTGTACAACACAGGCATTAATGGCTTAATTTTCACACTAAAAATGTATGAACATCTTTAACTGAAGTCAGTATGAAAAAAATACTAACTTTGGGATCAGTCTTGTGCCTTGATTGTGCAAACCACTCAGTTACCATCTGACCTTACAGATAGTAGTTCATTGATACAGCACCAGTACCACCTCTATTTTTATTTCTAGAAGTCTCGATGCAAAGAAGTTTGGCACAGCCTCTATGACAGATGTGCTTTTTCCTCTACTTAAAGCACCAGTTTCCTCTGCCCCTCTACCATGGCACCATTTTCTTTTAAATGACATCGCAATGAAAAATGGAGACAACAGGCTCTATCAAGCTTTGTTTTCTTCTTTATTCTCAGAATATCTGTTTTTATTTTGATTTTACTCAAAAGTCAAATCTCTTCCCAGCTAAACAGTGAAAAAATTCACTATGTTTTAATTAAACAGATAAAGTTTTTCCCACTTTTCATGCTGCTGATTTCTGACATTTCCACTACAGACTGTCTCTGCAATGTAGGAGTGCTACATTACAAGATACATACCTATTATATGCAAAAAGAAAATAAAAAAAGAAGTTGAAATCACAAAAGTATTGTGAACTTCCAGCTTTTAAAGATATTCTTGAGTCCTTGGAATTTAAATTTCTAATACCCCCTGGATACAGTTTTTGAATACCATCCTTTTTAATTCATAGAATCACAGAATAGAATCCTTTAGGTTGGAAGAG